TCCGGTGGACTGGGGATGATGACCTGGTGGGGCCCGGCCCGTTGCTTCTGTCCATTGCTGTGAGAGATGACTGGTGCCGGGGGCATTTGAGGAGCGGACACTGGGCGTGAAGGGCTCCGCCTCCCTCTCTTCCCTCTTGTCTTCTTCGTCTGCCTCCTTCTTCTCAGGTAGACAGAGACCAAAGTCCCAACATTGCCCTCCATGCTAGTGTCAGGGCTGTCTTCTCAGGGGTGTACGTCTGATTCAGCTCAGGATCTAGGTTCACCTCTGCTTATGGCTCCACCTCCTGCTTTGGGGGAAGGAGATGTCAGGGGGAGGGTTCCCAGGCTGCCTCTGCCCAGGACTGGACTTGGGGACCTCTTGGCTCTTCTCTCCCCTGCCTGTCCTAGAGGACCCCTACACCCTGGCAGCCCCCAGTCCTGGGCTGCTTGAACTTGATAGATGGTTCCAAGGTGACACTTTACCTTCTTCAGGTGACTCAGTCTGACCAGCCCAGCTGGAGGATTCCCTGGGAGAATTTCATAAAAGCCCCTTTCCTGCCGAGACGGGCGTGTTCCGCAGCGCACAGGCTGCCTCCCAGGAGCCGCTGTTCATGGTCCCCTTTGTTGATGCAGAGACTGTGAGGGGCTTCTAGGCACCTGAGCTTGTGGCCAGCAGTGAGCTCCACCACTTTCCCTGGGGCCTGAGCTGGCATGGGGTGCCTGCCCAGCCAGAGGCTGACCCACAGCTGGGACCCAGAGGGAGGGAAGTCATTGGGGGCAGGGCTTCTGCCCACTCCACCACACTGCTGCTCAGCAGCTTCCAGGTTTTAATTATTTACTTCCCCAGGGACCAAGGAGCCTCGGAAAGTGAGTTGCTTTTCTGCTAATGGAGCCAGAAGCAGATACCGCCTGTTCTACGTCTCACAGCCCCTTGGGGAGGACATGGGCTGTAGAAACCTTGTGTCCCCCACAGGAGACCAATTAAAAACTGTAGGCTCCTGAGTCCTGCTCCAAGATACCTTCACTTTCCCGGAAGTAGGAGAGAACCTATCTATACTTTGTAACTCCTGACTCGAGTCTTTGGTCTGCTGATTGTAGCCTGAGGAGCTTAGAAACAAACAACAAAATCGGTTGCCTTGTTTCTGGGACTCCCGCCCAGTGATCACCAAGAGCAACCAAGCTCACTGCCTCTGGCCAGTTCCCATGCAGGTGGACCCTGTAGGGCAGAGCAGAACTAATTGCCTTGGTGGGTTTCTGAGCCTGTAGCTCTTTACAGGAGCAGAGCCTTGCCTTCTTGCCACAGAGCCACTGGGGGTTTCAAACTGCCAACCTTTCAGTTAACAGCCCGCTCATAACTCACTCCGTCACCAGGCCACTTGGTTCTGGAAGGAGATGATGGTTTTACCTGGTATGGGAAAGGGGAAGTCTAACTGAAGCCTTCAGGAGAATTTGGTGAGCAGACCTGTCCCCCCAGGTCATCACTAGGTGGTGGTACATCGAGACACTCAATCTTGGCACTGGGTGAGGCTCCTGGAGAGATTCCTGTGTTTGGTGGGGGGCAGGGGGCGTTCAAGAGAACCTGTGCCAGCGCCCCGGTGTCTGTCTGTCTTGCCTGTGTGTCACTGTTTTGGGACCCTGACAACTCAGGCTCACTGGTGCACCTGATCACATGGAGCCAGGGGCTCCTGCCCTGTGCGGCTGGGCCCCCTGTCTACCTGGAGGGCACACTGCTCTTGGCAAAGGAGCTAGGGATGAGGGCAAAGAAGAGGCAGCCTGTATCAGCCCTGGAGGCCAGCGGGCTAGCTGCACTCCAAGAGCCCTCCTCCCAGGCTGAGCCTGCACCTCTGTCCTGGCCCGCTTTGTGGGGTAGCCCTGGTGGGCTCAGAAAGGAGCACTGCACACCTGGGGGGACCAGAGCCCCAGGTACCCACTGGCCAACGTGTGCTGCAAGCCCAGCCTTACCCGCAGGCAGTGAGGGCTGAGGGCTGGCCTGATTGTGAGGGCAGCCACAGCGGCCTGGGGTCAGAGCCCAAGCCAGGCAGCCAAGGTGGTGCAGCGGGAGGGCGGAGGCCTGGGAGGGAGGGGCCGTGTTCCGGGAGCTCTATTGGTTTGCCGGCTCAGTAAGCGAGTCTCCATTGCATGCTGGGGCATGCTGCTCTGTGTGGGCTCCGAATTGACATTTTACAAAAAGCACGTTGTTTTTTTGCCTCCAAACCAAATGTAAGCACCCCTCCTGGAGGCTTACGTTGTGATGCAGATGAGCTGGGGCTAGGGTTACCAGCCTTCCCATAACAGAAAAGCCTTTTATTCCGGGCTCCATGGCCCAGTGGTGAAGCGCTGAGCTGTTGAGGGAAAGGCTGGCGGTTTGAGCTCACAGCTGCCCTGGGGAGAGCACTGACCAGTGCCTCCTTGCAGGGACAGCCTTACCCACAGGGGCCGCTTACTCGGGCTGGCTGTGAGTCCCAGGGCCTCCACCGGCAGCATCACTGGCTGTCTTTGGCTTGGTTTTAACCCTTAGAGATGAACCTTCCTCAAGGTTTGGAGCCAAATGACCTCACTCTGCAGTCCCTGACCAGTGCTCGAGTCCATTCATGACTTTGGGCAAGAGGCCCAAGAAGTGACCCTGAGGGCCACTGCACTGCAGATGTAACCAGAGAGAGGCGGGGGAAGCGGGACAGGAAAGGGCCAGGCAGCCCCGGTGAGAGGCTCGGCCCGCTCTGGCAGGCACAGAGTTGGGCTAAGCTCTGGCTCAGTTTTGTATCCTTAACATGGGGGTGACGATGGCTCCTGCTTCAGGGGCTGTGAGAGGTAACAAAGGTCCGCAGTTCGAAGCCACCAGCCGCTGCTCCTCAGGAGACAGGCAGGGCTTTCTACGCCCATGAAGATAGGCGCCTCGGAAACCCACAGGGGCAGTTCTACCCTGCCCTCCAGGGTCTCTGACTGGGTGGCAGTGAGTACGTTTCTGAGTTCTGGAAAGGCCTTTGGGCTAGGCTGGGGCCTGCTGCAGTCTTCACTGCTTGCTAGTTTCCCGGGTCCCTTGGTTTGACTACAGGTGGTTATGGCTGTGACCCCTGAGGCAGGTGCAGGTAGTTCGTGTCTGTGGTGATGACCTCCATGCCTTTACCTGGTCGGCTTGTCCACTTTGTTAGAGGTCCCTGAGTGCCCTTCGTACAAGGTGGAATCCTCATTTTTCTATTCCTGCCTCTCCATTCATCCTTTGGCAAAGTAGAGTCTCTGGGCTTCTTTCTCTGTTACCAGAGTCCCTTACTCATCCTCTGGCACCATGGGAAATTGCCTCCTGCTTCCCCACCTCTTTCCTGGAGTCAGCCGAGGCCAGGGCCCCAGATACAGGGTGCCACAGGCCCTCTGTCTGACTGCCAGCTCTGAAAGGATGGCGCGTATAAAGGAAAACCCAAAACTGTTTAAAAGGCTAATGTTTCCACTTTAAATTAGCCCAGTGTCCAAAAACCAACCAAATGAGTCCTGCTCCCCACCCCACCCCAACAATGGTGTAGTTTTAGAGGTGGACTGACGACGGACAGGCCCAGGGGAGCCTGGACTCTTCTGTGAGGCATTCTCTGGGGCTGCAGGACAGTCCACACATGACTCCCTGAGGGACTGGTCACTCCCAAGAGGAAGCGGCCCTCCATCAGCAGGACCAGGTCAGCACCCTAAGTATAAGGTTTGTGCACACAGGACTGGAAATGTGTTCTTGCGCTTCAGGGATGAGCTCCAACACCGATGGCTCGGTGTTGAAATGAGAACCAGGTTGTGTTTTGCTGCCTGTACAAACGAAGCTTGGTCCCTGGGGACTCGATGAGCTCCCCGTGAAGTTGCTGCTTTTGCTGGTGGGGAACTGAGGCAGGCAAGGCCGGGAGGGGACAGCTAGGTTGCTATCGCAGTAATGACGTTTCCCGGGGGTTAAATAGCGCTGCTGCCGGCTGACAGTAGTAAAAGGAGGCTATAAGTGGAGAAGCAAGGTTATCACAGCGATGCCGTCGGTGGCTTGGGGACCCATTCTTATGCCTAATTAGACTGGACTGACAGAAGGGACTTTTAAACGTATCAGGTGAGCTTCTCTCAGCGTTACATAAATGACTGTCTGCGAGTACCGCCCTGGGACTCCCCACAGGCAGCCAGCTGGCTTGCCCTGGAATCACCTGGCTCCCTCTGGCCGGCCCAGCCCAGTCTTTGGTCACCTGGCTTTGCCTTGAAGTCCCCAGAAGCTAGATACAGGGGTGGGACTGAGGGTGTCAGAAGGAGTCCCTTTGACTTCTGAGCACCCACCCTGGTTCTGGCCTTTGCGGGACAGAGGAACAGGGCGCCTGGGGTGCTTACTTAGCCTCACAGACCTGTCCGGAGTTGTTCAGCCAGAGACCTCCCACATTTCCTGTTAAACCCCTCATGTAGTGCTTGTGGCCAGAGCCAGATCTTGTTCCTTCTTTGTTCCTGTAACTGGCCCTTTCAGTGTCAAGAGGCTGAAAAGCAAATAGCTGATAAAGTAAAGGGGGCAACTTAATATTGGATCAGCCAATAGTCTTTCTCCCTTTGACTTAAAGTTTACGATGCCGCCCAGGCAGACTGCCCGCATGCACTCACTGACTGTGGTTTCTGCATGGAGAGTGCCGGAGTGCGTGCAGTGGCTGAGAGGACAGGCTGGCCTGCACACGTCTACCCTGGGCCTCCCGGCCCCCTGGCCCTGCCCGTGGAGAGCATTTCCTATGCTTTCAAGACACAAGAGTTCATTAACACCGTCCCAAGTTTGGTTCACGGGAGTCCTGGTGGTTTCATGTTGGGCTGCTAGCTGCAGAGCCAGCTGTTCGAAGCCACCAGCTGCTCCGAGGGAGAAAGATGAGGCTTTCTACTCTTGTAAGGAGTAAAAATCTCAGAAACCCACAGAGGCAATTCTGCCGTGCCCTCTAGGGTCACTATGAGTCGGAATCGACTTGAGTTTTATATGCTTAGTGCTTTTGAGGAGGTTCAGTTTACCATCACCCTCTTGGTTCTCGTTGGGTAAAGATGGCCGAGGTTCAGGTCAGTGGGCAGCCCGGCCACTGCACACTGACAGCACAGGCTGGGATTGACTCCCTGCAGGCTGCCCTGGACGCGGCGTGGGGAAAGCGGCTCTTTGTCCCTGGCAAGGTCAACCTGTGCTTCCTGCTGCCCTTCCCTGCAGCTCAGCCAATGCCACGCCCGAGTTTGAAGGCCGGGGAGGTGATGACCTTGGCACGGAGATCGCAAACACGCTGCACCGGATCTTCAACAACGAGAGCAGCGTCGACCTGCGGTCCCTCTGCGTCAGCCCGCGGGAGCACTGCTGGGTCCTCTACGTGGACGTGCTGGTGAGTGCTGCACAGCCCTTGCCCCTACTCACGCCCCGCGCTGTCTGCCCTCAGATGCATGTCCGGTTGTCCAGGTGAGATTAGTCATAAAGTAGCAGTCATTCCCGGGCAACACCGTATCTGCAGGCATTGTCAAGAGGGAGGAAAACACTAGACGCCCTCCAGCTGGTGCCAGGCAGAGTTGGTGGGCAGAGCTGGGACAAGTTTGGAATGACGATAAACTCTGCATCCGCATTTGTGCTTAAGGCCTGCAAACCCTCTAAGGTGACTCCCTGCCGAGGGTTTGACTCACAGTGACCCTGGAGGGCAGAGTCAGACTCCTTAGGGTGCCGAGGTGGTCAGTCTTTCAAGGCGCAGCCAGCCTCATCTTTCTCCCTGCAAGCGGCTGGTGCAATTGAACCACTGACCTTGTGGTTCGCAGCCAATGCCTAACCCATCATGCCACTGGTGCTCTTTCCTTTGTGAGTGGCAGGCCCGCCCCTTACAGGTGGAGAAAGGCAGGTTCAGAGCTGAAGTCTGCAGCCCCAGCTGCTGAGTGGTGGGCGTGGGCCTCGCAGCCTGCCCCTTCCTCGCTGGGCAGCCTCCCTGGAGGGCACCCTGGAGCCTCGCCCAGTTGGTGGGTGGTGGGCCGTGGGCCCTGCCTCCAGCCTCCAAGGCTGCTCCTGGCGTCCGGTCTAGCGCTCGGGCCCCTCCCCGTGCTTTCTCTCCCAAACACTCTGCACCCTGGCTTTTGGCACCTAACGGAGTAGCTATGGCTTTGCTTTTCTGTGGAAACGTGGTGGTCAGGTGCTGGTTCATTTGCAATCTCTTTGTGGTCTTTTTTCCCCCTCCTTTTCGTGACATGACATTGGACTTGAGATTGGCTCTTTCCACTGCTCAGGTAGAGGTCACAAGGGTAGCTGTTGACCCCACGATGAATCTCACGATGAAGTAGATCCTGTGGGCTGATGGTCACTTCCTGAAGAAGGGCGTGGCAGACCCTGAGTGTTGCCCCTCCCCGCCATGGAACAGGGCAGGGCTTTCTGGAGAGGGTAACATGAATTTGACAGCTGATGGAGCCCGACCAAGAAACAGCAGTTGTTACCGTCTGATCCGACAGTATCAGACTGCTTCCATGAGGGCAGTTCTGTTCCGAGTGCTTATGTTCATGAGTGAAAACCAAGTGATCACAGGCCCCGCCCTTTGCTTTTGACTCATCTCCAAGAGTGCCCCAAGGAAGCCCGGTGGTACTCACTGAGTCAGGCACCACAGAGTTGTGGTTCGAACCCACCAGCCTCTCCGCGGGAGACAGAAGAGGCTGGCTGCTCACCTAAAGGTTTATGGTCTTGTTTTGGGAATCGACTCGATGACAGTGGGTTTGTGGTTTTGGAGTGTGAGCCGGACAGACCTTGTGGTCCTGGGCCGGCCAGGTAGTATCGCAGAGGATGGACCTGAGGCCTAGCCTTCTGACCCATAGGACGTGATTCCCCAAGCTCCCCTTGATGTCTGAAGAACACTCCCCTCCTCTCTTCCCCCCTCATTGCCCCCCCCTGCATCTGCTCTGCTGCCCCATGCAGGCAGCCCCTCCGTGCACGCGCACTGGGAGTTGGAAGGGAGACTGGCTCAGTGGTGGGGTTGGCTGTGCTTTAGATTCAAATCCGATGCAGCCCTGCTGACTAGAGGACAGTGTCCCTTCTTCCCCTGCAGGGCCTGTCCCTGCCGTCCGGAGAGAGACCTTGAGTTTCCAGACTTCTGGCATGTGGCTGTCTCTGGTAGTGCAGGGCTGAAGGCCTCAGCTGCTAACAGGGAGGTCGCTGCTCCGAGCCCAGTAACTGGCCCCCAGGAGAAAGACATGGCAACTGGCCCGTGAAAATCACCGCCGGGAACCCTGGGGGCAGTCCTTCTCTGTCCTGGAGGGTCAGTGTGAGTGTCCACTTGGTGGCGGGTCTGGTGGTTTTTGCTTCCTTTCTCTTTTTTTTTAAAGTTCTATTTATTATTCACTTTAAAAATTACTGCCTCATCTTCAGGAAAATTTTTGATGAATTAGAACAATGCTAAAAAAAAAAAGCTGTAACAACAGTGGAATGGACCAGCTTTTGCTACCCACAGAATTGGGAGCTGTGGGGGGTTTGCTTTCCTTCCATGTGCCCGGGCATGTTGGGGGTGGTAGACTTCCCTAAGGGGGGGCGTTTTCACCCTAAATGTGAGAAGCACCCAGAGTCACTGGGCCCATGTTGGAAGCAAAGTAGACCCTGCCTAGCCACTGGGATGGGGGGACAGAGCTCTCTGGTGGTTTATCTTCCCCAGCTGGTCTGGACCTGCCTTAGTCACTGGGAAGCCCCCCCCCCCCCCTTCCTCTCAGATTTGCTCTATGGACACATTTACTTCACCCAGCCAACCGAACAACCGAACAACTCCACAGCCTGCACCAGTCAGAGAGGTCACCCGCTCTGTGCACAGTGGGGTGAGGGCTTGGCCCGCCCACGGAGAGGTTGGTGGGTTGAGCCCACCAGCCGCTCCACAGCAGGACAAGGCCTCCTCACCCATAACGAGGACCGCCTTAGGGAGCTGTCCGCAGTTCTGTCCTAGTCGACTTTTAGGATGGCAGTCGATTTGGGTTTTGTTTGGTTCCCCAAACTGGGCCGTTTTCCTTTCCTTGGCTTTGCGTGGCTCTCCATCAATGCCTGTCTTCCCCTGAATGGGAGGTCAGTCGGGACCTTCAGGGGCACACTGGCCGCTAGGCTGGCTTGCACGGGGCCTGGGAGTGGAGATGAGAAGAAGGGGTTGGCGTGCAGGGCCTGGGGAGAGGGAGGCCTTGCAGCGCTTGGCTGTGTCCCAGGGAGCAGCTGCACAGCATGACTAGCCGCCGGTGTTGGACAAAATCTAGGGAAAAGAATTTCCCCTTCGCCCAGGTTGCTACTAGAGGATGGCGTGTTTTGCCCCAAGGGTGACGGTTCTAGGTGCATGCATCAAAGGGGAGATGTGTTTGCGTTCTGTGTGCTTCCTCCCCCTCCCTTGGGAACCACTGACCTGCCTCTGTCAGTCATATTAGCGGTCCTGCTTACACAGCCCAGTTGGCTGCCTGTGGCCCCCATCTCCCACAGTGTTTGCCCCTGGCAAGACTGGGCCTGCCCGGCAGCAGAGAGGAAGAGGAGCACCTTTACCTGAGGGGCACTGGAAAGGATGCGTTCTGCTGACATCTGCACCCCTGCTCTCCTTATGCGTGGCTTTGCTTTCCCACCTTTCCTGCCAGCCGCCAGCAGAGGGCAGTGATGAATGTCATGCATTCTGCCTGGCACCTGCCTTTCCCAGGTGTGAGGCTACCTGAGAGAAGACAGGCAGTTCGGCTGTCCTGAGGCCTGGAGACCGCTCATTCCTTGCAACCTGTGGAGGAGGCATGTTGGTTGACACCTGCCCCTGGGGACCCCTTAGCTGGTTCTCAGGGTTTGGTGTTCCTAATTTCACTTAATTTCTAGTGATGAGCTCAAACCAACTGAAGTCACTACCATAGTCAGTGTGACTCACGGTGCCCCCTGTGGGTCCCTCACCATGGAGTCAGCACTTACTCACGTGCCCCCTGTGGGTTCCCAAGACTGTCACTGTTCATGGGAGTAGAAAGCCCAGTTCTCCCGAGGAGTGGCTGGTGGCTGGGACCCGCCGACCATGCGATTGCTGCTGACGCACAACTGCTTTGCCACCAGGACTCCTGGACCCTCGGGACCCAAGTGCGTGTTCAGCACAGCCGTGGGACCCAGCACGGGACAGTGGGCAGCGGCTCTGGAGTCTGCAGGGGGTGGGGAGTGCTCTCTCACTGCCACGAGGGACTCCTGCACTGATCAGCGCTTGCTTACAGGACATCGCTTGGTGATGTGGGTGTGAGTTTGCAGAGCAAGAGGTTCCCGTCAGCAGTCCATGCACGGTGTAACACGTGGCGGTGGCAGTCCTGCTGTGCGCCGTGAGCACCTCCACCCTGCGTGCTGGGGCCGGTGCCGCCATCCGGGTCCTGCTTTCTTGGAGCTGCCTCCCCCACAGAACCTGCCATTGAGATCTGGCCTGGTCGGCTGCTCCACCACGGGTTGGCAGACCTTTGAGATGAAGAGCCAATCCTGCCCCTCCCAACAACGTGAAAACTACTCGTAGATAGATTCTACAAAGGAATGAAATCACGGTGAAGCGAATAATACCCTTAAAGCTTGTTCCGTTTCCCCTCAGAGCCCACACACAGACCGGAGAGTTGCAGGTGGCCCGTGGGCCTCGGTTGCCCCTGGGTGTCGGTGGGGGTGCTCACCTGTAGCCCATGCTTGGTTTGATGGTAGTTGAGCCACGGGCTGCCTTCAGGAGCCCAGGGTTCCAGCAGTCTTCTTCAGACGTGTAAACCTGGTCTTTCTTGTGCGACCTGCAGTTGGGTGCCACATTTCTGCCCCACTCTGTCCAGGAGGGTGGGAGCGGGCACCCTCTGTTTGTCTGCCCTCTGGGTCGTGGAGGCTGGACTTGGTTGGGCCCCATTCACTGTTTGGCCTCGTTGCCTCTGCGGGCCTTTGACTTTCCTTACTCTTCGCTCGTTGCACAGGCTGTGAAGAACCTAGTTGTTCCTCACCAGGGCAGGGCTAGAGCGTTCGTTGTCTGTGCACTCTTGACTGTGCCAGGGGACTGCGGGGTGCCCTCCCCTCCCACCATGGCCTTGGCCCCCTCTGACTAGCACTTTCTTTGCATTAAACACGCACTGTGAGACAGCAGGAAATGAGCAGTTTCACACTGGTTCACTCTGGTTCTTCCCCCTGATGAGAGGTGGCACTTGTAGCTGAGCTTCACAGAACCAGAACCTGCACTTTAACTAGAGCCCCCCCCACCCCCCCACCAACCCACAGCTCCGAGCAGAAAGCAGACTGCCCGAACTCCAGCTTCAGGCCCTCACCGGCCTTTTCTCAGGCTCCCAGCTGATTCCGGTTCACAGCCAGGGTTGGGAGCTCTGCCGTCAGACGTGAAGACGGAGAATGGGGGGTGGGAGTGGGGGGCACGCAGGACTCATCCTCCAAAAGTCTGCAAGGGCCAGCCAGTGGGATGTGCAGGGTGAATTCGTACTTCTGTGAAAACACTTAGCTCATACTGAATGTGTGCCAGCCACGCCTCTGCAGGCTCCTGAGTATTAGCTCATCCAGCCTCACACTGCTTCATGAGAGAAGTGCGGTTCCCTCCCGCCGAGGCACACAGCTGAAGTAGCACCGAGGCGAACTGCCGAGAGCCCAGACAAGCCAAAGAAGCCAGAACTCGGAGCCCCGAGACCCTGGGCCGGGTGCCTCTAGTCCTGAGTCCCTGGGCAAACGTGGGGCCACTCATTTTTCAGATACAGGGTCACCCACGGTGGACAGGCGCCAGTGGAGCTGACCAAGCTCCCCAGTGTGTCAGTCTGACCAGGAAGGTCGGCCTTGGGCGTTGCGTCCCTGGAAGTGCTGCTGAACATGGGCGCCTCACTTCCGCGAGGTGGCCAGGAGGTGGCGCCAAACCCAGGTGGCTGGGCTAGCGGTGCAGTGGGCCAGGTACCTGTGGGATTGGGTTTGATGCAGCTGCTGCCGGAGCAGGAGTCCGTGCCCGGTGTCACGGTTGACCTGACTTAGTTGAGTCTGCTGAGACGGATGAGCGCTGGGGACCGGGTGTCAGTAGGGGCCTGCAGCCTGTCCCCTCCGCGGCAGCAGCTGTGCTCCGTGGGGCTCTTGCAGATCGACCAGCAGGCTTCCAGTCTTTGTCCTTCCAAGGTGCCTCTGCACGGACCCCACGCCTCTTACCCATGGGCACCACCAGGGCCCACTAAACACACACATGGAAAAACCACTTTTCTTCCTTGTTTCAGGTTGCAGGGGTTTCTTAGTGCAGACCTCAACACGGCACACCAGCGTGATTTTGCGCCCTTTAGAAGTCAGGGCCCTCATTCTTCTGTTTGCTGGAACCCGCGTTCACTGAGTAGAGCCTCTGTAGATCATCGGGACCCAGCGTAGCCCATGGTTCTGGGTGGTTCTTTCTGCTCCAGCTGACAGCTGGATCACGTCGTGCCAGACACATGGCACATAGTGGCACATGGTGCTGCCGAAGCCCCTCCACCTCCAGGAACTAGGGAGAGGTGTCAGACGTGGGTGCTTCTCTGCCTGCCCCTGGATCTGGCTGGGGCGCCTGTCCGCCACTGTAGCCTTGAGTCTGGAGAGAGGGAAGAAATTTGGCAGGCCTGCACAGAAACCCCTTCCTGTCACACATCACGTCTTCCATTGGGTTGTTTTGTGCCCCGCAGCTGCTGGAATGCGGTGGGAACCTGTTTGATGCCATCTCCATCGCTGTCAAGGCCGCCCTCTTCAATACCCGGTGAGTGGAGCGGAGCTGGCTCTGGGCCCCAGGGACCTGAGCAGACGGGGCGCCCACGAGCTTACATGAGCAAGATCACGTGGGGCTTTTGCTGTGAACCGGTGGAATCCAGTGGTAGGATCCAGAAAAAAGAGAGGTTCCGTAAGTTCACACTCCCTGCGGCAGTTCTCCTCTGAGTCGGAAATGACCCAGGAGCAGCGAGTTTGGGTTTCCTGTCATAAAGAGTGGTATACCATGTTAAAGAAGATTCGGAAACTACAGACCGAGAAGCCAAAAGCAACCACAGGCAGCTGCCTAAACACCTGGCCGGCCTGTCGTCCTCTCTGCTGCCTCAGGGACTGTGCCCACACTTGGGAAACGGCTTAGCCACATGGGCATTCCCAGGGGGGCTGTGTACCAGGCCTGTTGGGGCAGCGCATCCTCTCTCTGGTTTGGAGTCTCCCCCTTCTGTAGAGCAAGCAGTTCCAGGAGAGTGGGCCATACTTGAAAGTAACTCTGTGGGTGAAATGGGGTGACCATCCCATGAGAGCTTCCATCTGATCGTGGAGGGCAAAGGGGGACCCTGGGATACTAGGAAATGAGGATTGGGGACTTGTGAGAATGTCACCCAAGAATGTAATCATTGGACAGCGGGCAAAGACGTGGCTTCCAGGGTGTTTACTATTGTTTCTTTGTGCTGATGAGACATCGGAAACAACCAGAATGTCCCACCAGCACAGGCCATTGAAATCTGCACCTTAAACACACATCACTGCTGGGCAGTCGATTCTGACTTGTGGCCACCCTGTCGGACAGGGGAGAATGGCCCCTGTAGGCTTCTGAGGCCAGAGATCTTCCAGAGGGGCACAGAAAGCCTCATCTTACTCCTGGGGAGCGGTCGGTGGGTGTGAACCACCAACCTTGAGGCTAGCGGCTGAGTTAGTTAATTGTGCCAACCTGGCCGATAATCACATGTGGGGCTAATTGAAAGGCAGAGGGATAAATGGGTGGTGAGCCTCACCTTTCGTGTACTCGGGTCTCTTGCTTTGTGATGGCTGCACCAGGGTGCAGCTGCCTTAGCAGTTCCCTGATTCTCTTGAAAGATTGACTTCCTGCAAGATATCCCCAAGGAGAAGCCACATGGATCTATCCCAATGCAACCCTGGGTGCTGGAGCAGCCGTGTGGAGACCCCTGCTGGTGCTGAGTTGCTTGTTCGTTCACTGACTCAGCTTTCCTCCTCCAGGATACCAAAGGTTCGTGTCTTGGAGGATGAAGAGGGGTCCAAGGACATTGAGCTGTTCGACGACCCGTATGACTGCCTCCGGCTGAGTGTGGAGAACGTCCCCTGCATCGTCACCCTGTGCAAGGTCAGCGTTTGTTTGACATCGGATATGTCTCCCGCAGTCCCAGTCTGTTCATGTTATTGAAACACTGAGAAGTTGCGAAGAAGGGGTGTGTTAGGCAGGGTTCTCTAGAGAAACAAAACCAAGGTATTTATGATTTTATATATATATAAGAGGATAGGTTTATATAGCAAGAATGAATATAACAGCTAATTAGTCCACACAGCAGTACAGAGGGTTCAGTTCAACTTACTTTCATGGACCAGTTAATATACTGGAAGTCCTTCAACTCACAGGGGCTGCTGGGTCCAAGGTCAATGAAACACAGCTGAGGCTTCCCTTGGGCAAGACAGGCAGAGTCAGCCCGCAGACAGCAGGGTGGGCCAGCAACAGTTAGTGAAGCAGGCCTGGATGGGATCTTGAACTCTTATCAATGCAAGGCAACAGGATCCACTATCCTGAAGTTCAAGTGGTGGACACACCAGCAGTGTGGCAAAGCAGGTCTCGAAGGACCTCAAGCTCCAGTGACACAATCCATGGGTTGGCTGGCCCACAGGTATTGTAGCTCACAGGTTGAGGCAGAGAACTAGCTAAAGCATCAGCGCGCTGGTCCCATCACCAGGAGCAAGAGGGAGATGGGATGCTGGCCATCTTCATTGATCTCGGTGGCCCTCCAATCAAGCTGTGACCTGATCAGACTCCACCCACATGTTCCCATTGGCCTAGTTGGGAATAATAACAATAAACCTAACTATCAAAAGGGGCTTGGACCGCAGTGTGGCCATCTGAGGGCTGACTACTGTGTGCAGTCCCTTTGCTTTGTGATTGAAGGTGCGGTGGAGACCCGGGTACCTAGGAGTGGGATTAGAGCAACTTCTACATGCCGCCCACCTCGCCTTGTGGGCCTGTGCCTCTTACTCTGAGTTGCAAAGCCCCAGGCCTGTCATCAGCCTGCCCTCAGCACGCTTCCTGCCATGAGGGTCCGCTGGGGGCCCGTTGCCCGGGTTTGGGGAAGGAGGCTGGAGGAAGTGTTGGGGTATAGTACTAAGAGGGCTTCCGGAAGCCCTAGGAAGTTCTGCTATCATCTAATCCCATCTGTGCACGAGCTCGTTGAGACCCTCCTGCATCAAGTGTGGTCTTCAGGCTGACCCGGAGGTCTGTGCACCTAGCAGCTG